CCTCATATTTATGCCATTGCAAGTCTCCAGAAGACTTATATCCTTCTCTTTGCTCTGTCCAAAAACCCCCTTTGAACTGCCGTGGTCGCACAACGTAATTCCCGTTCTCACTAATCAAAGTGTTAACTCATTCATCATCCGAGTCTGTTTCGCAGAAAAGTCGACCAGCAGATCGAGTGTGCGTTGCATTGGTTTGACAATTTCCGAAAATGGAATGAATCTAACTTTTCACGGCTCTGCTGTTGCTTTCATTCTGTCATAAATAATTGGAATACTACTAATGTTCCCTGACTTCTGCAGAGAACTGGACTATGTACAATAGTTTTGAGTAGTTTTTTGTTATTTTTGTCATTAAAAGGCTAGTAAAGTCGCGACCATTGTGAGTGTCTTAGGCTGAGGTGATATCCTCCAGTTGAGCTGCAAATATGGGATTTCAGGTCAAATGTCGTCCAACTTTTGTCATAATGGATTAAAGCCAAATAATTTTGACGAAGAATTTGCTTCGTTTGACTTTCGTGTCATAGTTTGAAGTGTCATATTTTAAGGGGCAGACGAGTCTTAGATGACAGCAGATTTCGGTCTATTTGTCCCTCTTCTTCTAAGCTCACGTTTTGCAGTGAACTATTTCTGGTCCACTGTGTTTATCCGCCCGTACTTAACATTCCTCTTGCTTATTTTTAAACAGTGTTCCCTGTTCTTTCGAGTCATTTATACCTACAACTATAGAATTCATATCTGCGAAAAGCGGATGTGACTGTCTTGCGATCAGTGCAGTTCCAGGTTCGGTCAATACCTATCGGCAGTGCGATAGATTATTTGAGTTTAATATGCTATCATGGAAGTCAAATATTTTTATTTTGAAATTGGTTTTTGCACCCTTGTTGAATAGCAGGTGAATCGACCAAAAGAACAAGTTGCATTTGTTTTCGTAGTAGAATAACGATGCAACTGGGTGACTGGGATTGTCGATTTGCACTTGTGGCCATGAGCGTGCTTTTCGAGAAAATTTGGCGCTTTACATATTAGTTGCACATTAGTCCAATCTGAACACTTTGCGAAGCATGCTGTAGCAGCGGGTTTGGACAATGACCCCGAATCATGAGCATCTGTTTATCCCAACAAGTGAATCCACAATTCAATGGAAGTCTTTTGCCCCCACTAACAGATGCATCCAATCGAGGAGTTTGTGAGCTACTTCACTTTCCTCCATGAGTTGGGTCAATACTTTCTTGAAGTGAAGGAGAAGGAGATCCGTCATGCAATGACGTGTCTCTTTGTGGAGATCCTTCTACCCGTTGCTGCAGTAGTACGTCACGAGGTGAACATTCCCGCGCTGAAGAATTTCGTCGATCTGCTCTACAATCCCGCCTTTGAATTGGCAAACAAAAAGAAGCATGCTCTAGTGAGTGATTTCGAGTTTGATAGGAATTATCGTTTGACTGGTATCACGTTTTTTATTTACGTTACTAATATAACATACATTCAAATATAAGTTATTATCTCGGGCTTCATGTGATAAATACACATGGTTTGAAAGGAGGTAAACGAATCGAAAAAACTGGAATATGCGTTAGTGATGCTGGATTGAAGAAAGGATGTACTGAGTTGCCTTTAATTGTCCTTTGATATCCTGACAACAAGCGTATTAAATGGCCTTTACAGTACTTCTCTGCCTACTCTTTGGTTTAATCCTTTCATCCAAATCGAGTTTTAGGAAAGATGGATTAGAGTGTTTCAGTCAAGCGTAACGTACGTTCTGTGGTAATTGAATGTTTTTACTTGTGCACCATGCCTTTCACTAGCTCCCATTGCCTTGTAAACTGCTGTTACCTCGTGATCAAGGTATATTATCTAAGACAAATGGATACTGTGAAACCTGGCCATCTATAGATCGGCCTGACATTTTCGTTTACTCTTAGCTTCCTTTCGTGATGGTTTAAAATAGTGTTGTCGCCTTGGGGTTTCATCGCGATGGTGAAAGACGTAGGCATTCTTTCCGAAAAGCTGTATTTGCAGCATTTAGAGCTCCGTAATGGTAGCAAATCAAATGTTTGAAGTAAGTAACACCTGTGGCGACTAGTACATTCTTATTTTTGCATGCAAAATACTGTCTAAAGTTTATTTTGGTTTCCTGCGGTCTCATCAACTCGCTTCACCACTGAGCTCGTTATTAGATCTGCAAAAGTTTGTTCACCTTCCGTCATTGGTGTCTTTTTTGGTGTCGAAGACTACGAAATTTTTCCATTACATCGGTTTAGATGTGTGAGTACTTGCATATATATTTGATATCAGAATTTTGCTTGCACCAAAAAATAACTACAAAGCGCTCTGCTCTACATGTGTACCAAAGGATGTCTTTTTTGTCAGACCATGGGGTAATTTTAATTGCAAAAGTGAAACGTGAGTGGAAGCCTCAATGTAAATCGATGTTTTTTTTTGAAATAATGAAGCAACTATTCATAAGCATTAATAATGGGCTTTTTCGTGTCCCTTAGGCCCTTTTTCCTATGGTTACCTGCCTTCTGTGTGTGAGTACCAAGGCATTCTTCCTCAACAATTGGCCGCCATTCATGTCATTGTGCCTGAGCCAACTAAAAAACCGTGACCTAGGCCAAGTCAGTGTGGAGTCTCTGTTCCGTCTGCTCTGGTATGTATCCTCATTCTATTCCTCTGATCTCTTGATGTCACTTACTGTTGACTTTGAAGTTTAAGAATGGCAATCATAGTGGATATTGGGGGGTTAAGAAACCTAAACAAAATCATTTAGATTGGAACCATAAATTAGAAGTGTACCCTCTTGCAGTATTCGGTTCCCCTCCCTCTCGCCCCCCAAGCGGTTTTTCATACCGCATATCTGTAGGTAACATAATTGAAGTAGTGAGAACCTATTAACGTTGTTCATTATCGTAAGCTCGGAGATACGATTTAAAAAAGTGTTTTAAATTAAATCGAATACCACTTTTTTTGCTCTCCCACATCTCGATTGTCGTCTGGGTCTCATGGGTATCAGTCCTTTTCGTC